CTGGCAGGAACTCGATGGACACCACGAAGTCCTTCCCGTTCGCCGTCGCCCAGCCGCCGCATGTCACCGCACCCCCGGCAGTACTCTGGCCCAACGCGGGGCCGGTCTCCTAGCCCGTATCCGGGAAACAAAGGGCAGCAACCGATGGAGGTGCGGTTGCTGTGCGACGAACTACCGAAGATCCTCCGACGACGACCCCGACGCGACGGAGCTTTTTGAACACAACACCAACCAGGCAAAGCCCTGAAGGCAAAAGCTCACTTACCGAAGGTGGCCGGACGACGCAACATGGAAGCAGCCGAACAATCCGACGCAGCCGTGACCCGACGCCACGCCCTAACTGTAATGCGAGACGGCGAACTAGCGACCTCGACGTTCTTATCGACGGCCACAGTGTGACTGCTCTCGTCGATACTGGAGCCGACTATTCTGTCATCAGCGGGTCGTTCGCCGCAAAGTTAAAGAAAGTTAGGACAGCTTGGAAAGGCCCTGAAATCCGCACAGCCGGAGGTCATCTCGTAACGCCTGCAGGAATCTGCACAGCGAGAGTCACCATTAACGGCCGTATTTATCCTACAGACTTCGTAGTCCTACAGCGTTGCTCGAGAGATGTCATCCTTGGCATGGACTTCTTATGCCTCCATGGTGCTGTCATCAACCTAAAAACAAGGTCGATAACGTTATCCACAGAAGAAGCACTACCGCCGCGCACGCCGTCAGGACACCATGCCTTGAATGTGCTGGAAGAACAAGTCACCATTCCGCCTCGCTCAAGCGTCATTATTTCAGTCGGCGCTCCTAAATCGTCTGACTTGGAAGGCGTCGTTGAAGGCAGTCAGCATCTGTTGGTCACCCGAAATATTTGCGTCGCAAGAGGAATTGCAAAGCTGCGGGGAGGCAAAGCAACGGTTATGCTCACGAATTTCAGCAATAAGTACAAACATGTGAACAAAGGAACAACGGTCGCATACATCGAAGAAATTGTCGAAGCCACCAGTGCTTTCGCCCTCGCCGATTCTGCGGAACCTGCTCAGAGGAACCAAGCCCCTCCCATAGCTTTCGACGTCAGTCCCAGACTTCCGAACGATAAGCAAGAACAGCTCAAGGCTCTGCTCCTGCATTACGAAGATTGCTTTTCGTCGTCATCGAAAATTCGGCAGACCCCAATCCCGAAACATCGAATCATAACCGAAGAAAATGCCAGACCACTCCGTCAGAGTCCGTACAGGGTTTCGACGCGAGAACGTGAGGCAATGAAGAGACAAGTTGATGAAATGCTGCGAGATGACATTATCCAGCCGTCCAAGAGTCCGTGGGCATCCCCCGTGGTGTTAGTGAAGAAAAAAGATGGGACCCTACGTTTCTGCGTCGATTATTGCCGGCTGCACAAAATCACAAGAAAGGACGTGTATCCTCTCCCACGAATAGACGACGCACTTGATCGGCTCCATAACGCCAAGTACTCGGCAATGGACCTCAAGACTGGCTATTGGCAAATCGAAGTCGACGAAAGAGACCGAGAGAAGACGGCGTTTATAACACCGGACGGCCTCATCGAGTTTAAGGTGATGCCCTTCGGCCTTTGCTCAGCGCCTGCAACTTTTCAACGCGTTATGGATACAGTACTGGCAGGATTGAAGTGGCAGACTTGCCTTGTGTACTTGGACGACGTCGTCGTGTTTTGCTCGAGTTTCGACGAGCATCTTCGGCGCCTTGAAGCTGTACTTCAAGCCATCAAGACGTCCGGACTCACACTGAAGCCAGAAGAGTGCAGATTTGCGTATGAGGAGCTCTTGTTTCTGGGGCACGTTATCAGCAAGTCTGGAGTTCGTCCCGATCCACGGAAAACAGCCGCCATCGCCGACTTCCCGCCACCCACTGACAAGAAGGCCGTGCGCCGATTTCTGGGCCTGTGCGCCTATTATAGGTGGTTCGGGAAAAACTTCGCCCGCATCGCCGATCCTCTCACTAACCTTACCAAGGCCGACTCGGAGTTCAAGTGGGAAACGCCACAGGAACACGCTTTCCAGGAGCTTAAACATCGCCTCCAGACGCCTCCGTTACTTGCCCATTTCGACGAATCCGCAGAGACAGAAATACATACTGACGCAAGCAGCGTAGGTCTTGGCGCCGTTCTTGTGCAGAGGGCTGATGGACTTGAAAGGGTTATTAGATACGCCAGCCGATCGCTATCCAAAGCAGAAGCAAATTATTCCACAACAGAAAAGGAGTGTCTCGCCATCATCTGGGCTACGTCGAAATTTCGCCCCTACCTCTACGGCAGGCCCTTCAAAGTTGTGAGCGACCACCACGCCTTGTGTTAGCTAGCCGCCTTGAAGGACCCTTAAGGTCGCCTCGCACGATGGAGCCTGAGACTTCAAGAATATGACATTACTGTCATTTACAAGTCCGGCAAAAAACACTCCGACGCTGACTGTCTCTCTCGTGCGCCTGTCGACCAACCACAACCCGACGACTCGGATGACGACTACTTCTTGAGAACGATAACTACCGATGACTTCGCTGAACGACAGCGGGCCGACCCGGAACTTAAGGCCCTAATAGAATACCTCGAAGGCAGGACCGCCGAAGTCCCGAAGGTATTCAAGCGCGCACTTGCGTCGTTCTTTCTACGAAACGGTCTTCTACAAAAGAAAAACTTTTCACCGCTTCGAGCTAAGTACCTCCTTGTGGTGCCTTCAGCTCTGCGACCAGAACTCCTGCAGGCCCTGCACGACGATCCGACGGCAGGGCACCTCGGTGTTTCTCGCACGCTCGCGAGGATACAAGAAAGGTACTACTGGCCACGTCTTACCACCGACGTCAATCGTTATGTGAGGACATGCCGGGACTTTCAGCGACGCAAGACACCGCCGACAAGGCCAGCGGGACTTCTGCAGCCAATTGATCCACCTTGCCGACCTTTCCAGCAGATTGGTATGGACCTACTGGGGCCGTTCCCGACGTCGACTTTCGGAAACAACTGGATCGTGGTAGCTACCGACTACCTCACCCGCTACGCCGAGAGAAAAGCCCTGCCAAAAGGCAGTGCATCCGAGGTAGCTAAGTTCTTCGTCGAAAATATCGTCCTGCGTCACGGCGCCCCGGAGGTCCTTATCACCGACAGAGGAACGGCATTCACTGCCGACTTAACTCAAGCGATCTTGGCATACAGCCAAACAAACCACCGCCGGACGACAGCGTACCACCCACAGACCAACGGCCTCAACGAGCGGCTTAACAAGACGATCGCCAACATGCTGTCAATGTACGTCGATGTCGAACACAAGACGTGGGACGCCATTCTTCCGTATGTGACCTTCGCATACAACACGGCGGTGCAGGAGACGACGCAGATATCTCCATACAAATTGGTCTACGGAAGGAGCCCGGCAATGACGCTCGATGCCATGTTACCCAACGTCACCGACGAAGAAAACCTCGATGTGAGCGAGTACCTTCAACGCGCCGAAGAAGCCCGACAACTTGCGCGTCTCCGTATCAAGAATCAACAGACGACCGACAGCCACCGTTACAACCTTCGACGGCGCTTCGTGGAATACCAGCCCGGTGAACGTGTTTGGGTGTGGACGCCGATACGCCGACGTGGACTAAGTGAAAAGCTTCTGCGACGGTACTTCGGACCGTACAGGGTGGTTCGACGTCTCGGCCCACTTGATTACGAGGTTGTCCCCGACGGCATCACGAACTCTCAACGACGCCGATCGCGACCTGAAGTCGTACATGTCGCGCGCCTCAAGCCGTTTCATGCGCGTTAACAAACTGAAACAGTGTTTTTTTGTATTATAGTTGTATCGTAATTTATTCATTGTACTTTCTAGCATTATTATTGTACCTTCATCTTCAGTTAAAGCATCGGGACGATGCCTTTTTTTTTCAAAGGGGGGCAATGCCACGTTCCATTTCCCAAGTTTTTGTTATCGTGCCAAAACAACACACCATTCTCAGCGCGAACCGCGCCTGCATTTTTCGAGAAGGTTCCGGACTGTAGTAGATCATTTCGATAAGATCACGCCCACTGTGCGAAAGGTACAGATTGTTCTGGAACCTACGCCGCCGCCAGCGATAACGCTTGAATATTCGACGGCAAGAGTATAAATGCCGACGCTGCGTTCGCCGCTATCAGTCCGAGACTGCTACCTGTGCAAGACTGCTGCTGTAATTAGACTTTCCCTTTACCGGGCACAGGTTCGCCCAAATAAACAGTTAAATCCCAACACGAAGTTTCCTCTCTTGGCCATGTCACGACCCCGTGACAATATATATATATATATATATATATATATATATATATATATATATATATATAGAGAGAGAGAGAGAGAGAGAGAGAGTATCAATGCCACGCAATGCGGCGGCGGGAGGAGTTTTTAGGTTTGCTTGGGTACTTCATTGTCTACTGCAATGTTGATTAATGGGCCATGAGAAAGGTTGAACTAGGCTAAGCACAAAACGAATAGATGTAATGGCAGCAGGACACATCAGAAATGACGATCCCCTCAAAAAGCCCATGATGTTTGAGCGATCGTCCGACAATAGGTCATTTGTCTCTGAAAATGGCACTGACTAAGTGCATTGCCACATACTAACCTTCACCGCTTAATTCACTGCCCAACTTCGATTTACCTGTCTGGTGTTCATGACGGTATTTCTCGTATAAATGGAGGCAGAACATTGTTATTAAGAGAAATACACGGGGTAATAAAATGTGTACATCACTCGTTTCTTAGAGCGGGAGGACGGCGTAACCAGCACGAAATAATTGCAGCTACATCAGGCTTCGCCCTTAAATTTTAGTGATGTATTAACTTGTGTGGCATGACGATAATTGACTTTTTATCATATGATCGTCAAGAATGAAAATACAGGTGCAACCACCGGTAGCTTGTGGAATTAAATTTTAGTTTTCCGACTCTTTCTGTGCGAATAAAGCAATCGTAATGACTTGTAAGTCTGCCTGCTCCTTTTGAACTGGGTGCCATGAATCTGCGTTTTAAGTAACAACGCGACGCTAGTGTCATCGCGAAGCTTTTCGGAGAAGAATGCAGTGGTAAGTCGAACGTTTTTAACATGGCATTCAAGTTAATTATTCAAGGATTATGTGCTACTTCTCTACTTGCACAACCATAGTTTCCATTTGATCCTCAAACTAAAAGAAAACTCGGGAGATCACCAAGACCACCTGCAACTGTTGCGCAGATGAATGTTCTGCTGACGCATTTCTTGGGGTGAAGCTTCCTAAGGCGTGGGTCGTGCGTCTTATGTAAATAGCAGTAACCTTTCGTTTTAGTCCTTAGAATGCGCACTGGTTATGATGAATATATCATGAAAAGATGCGAGATGGTGGTATTTGAAGTGTTGACCAGATGGACAGATGGACGGACGGATGGACGGACAGACACACATAGAGACAGCTGGACAAGCGGACAGATGGATGGACAGAGAGATGGACAGACATACAGAAATATAGATAGATAGATAGATAGATAGATAGATAGATAGATAGATAGATAGATAGATAGATACGCTCAAATTCACCAAAGTTCGCTAGAAATTCTTCGCATTTAATATTTTCACCTTGGGCACGCTGACCGCTACTTTGGTTAGTGTGATGGTACCATGTCCCAACAATAATTTTTCAATAAAGCACTCTCAATCAGGTGCGCGTTCACCTCGAGTAGGTGATCACATTTATAGTTATTGGCACTCTGTTTTGTAAACAATAGAAGTGTTCTCTACGAACTTACAAAAATTTCAGCGAATAGCTTCTATACGCCTCCCGTATATTCTGAGAAAACTGTTATCAAAGGTACTTCTCTTTAAGAATGTTGTTGCCCAGGGTGGGCGATCAAAAATTATCATTATTTTTAGGAACATGCGCTCACTTAATTTGTCCTCTTGAACTTCTACTTCGCTTTCACGACGCGTGAACAGGGTAACCGTCTTGGAATACGAAAACTACAATGAACGGGTCTATTATTTTACTAAAAGTCCCTATGTCACGTAAACTGAACTAAAGGTCAGGTATTACATAGAACTGCGGAGACAATCAAGCAGCATTGAGCAACAGAATTATTTTATACCCAATGAGAAGACACTTCCTGCAGACTCTCTCCAGGCTAAGCAGGTCGCTGGCCGTCACTCTGAGGCTCCTGCAAACCTTCACCTACCCAAATCCAGTGACCGTCAATAGCATATATCCAGACATTTGCCCCAATTGCTCTCGAGCAGCCTATAGCGAATCTGCTACTTTTTCTCATATGCTCTGAACGCCAAATCCTGGTTGAATTCGGAGGGCAAATCCTTGCTGTCCAGCGTGCCCGTGATCACGCCAGCAGGCTAGAACTGCCGAGAGCATCGTGGGATTAGTCAAGTGTGCTTTTTATCGCGTTTCGCTGGACCCAATAAAAGCTGATTCACTCACTCATTCACTTACGTAACATGTTCTCATCAGACAAAACTTAACAGGCGGCCATGTGACTAAGATTGCAGCATCACGTATAACACGTAGGTGTGTGACATGTCTAGCGAACTCTAGCTTTGTCGAGCCACACTTATAAGTGTGGCTAGACAGTATTATAGTACTGCGAGAAAAAAATAGCCCTGCTAGAAAACGCTCGTGCTTACTGTAGCGAAACTTGTCTAGGTAAAACGTTAACCCCTGTGATGATTTTACCCTTGTATTTGTCGATAGCGCAAGCTGCGATTTTTTTGTTTTAGATGCGGAAGCATCTTATACTCGCGCCTTGTAGTGCGCCGTCCGCGCCGTCCGCACCGCTTCTCGAACATTCGACAGCTGACGCGCGCGCATGCGCCGTCGCGCCGTCGCCCACCATCTGTGCCGCGCGCGCTTCTCCTTCGAGAACATTCGACAGCTGACAGCGCATGCGCCGTCGCGCCGTCACCATCTGTGCCGCGCGCGCGCTTCTCCTTCGAGAACATTCAACAGCTGACAGTGCATGCGCCGTCGTGCTGTATATATACTCAAGGTCGGCGCTCGCTCGCTCAGTTGCCGCTCGTCGGTTGGTTTGTACGGCGCGTCGACGTCCAAGGTCGCGGTGAAATGAATTCCAACGAATCCACAAACACAATGATCGACGTCCCTTCGACCAGCGGCGTCCTTTCGCATACGTGTGTACGTGTTCACTCATTTCACACCCCCTCCTACAACCACGTTAACCAATTTAGCCATCGACCCAAGTAAGTCGCAATTTAACACCCCATTTCACAACCACGTTAACCAATTTAGCCATCGACCCAAGTAAGTCGCACTTTAACACCCCGTTAACCAATTATATGCTCCGCATCCTCCTCAGTGTTCCCCCGAGGGAAGCTGCGGGCAATTTTTTTGACGTTTTCTTAGTACATTCAAAAGTGGGAAGAAAGTTTGCAGCACTTTTTCTAAACTTGAGGTCCAAACCTACTTATTTGTTCATACCTAATGTAAGCGTGGACGAGTAAATAAGTAGAATGCTAAACAGCTAGATTATATGCCTCGTGTTGCATTGCGTCACGTACTAGAGGGCAGCTTTTGTTTCACTATTTTCTCATCCACGTCTTTGCAGACAGAAACATGGACGGAATTCTTGGAAAGTACCTTCTCATGGCGTGTGCTACTGCAGTTGGTAAGAGAAAGTAATACAACTAAGTGTTTCTTGAGCACGGCTTCCATGGGCTTCATAAGGCTTGAAATGTTTTAATGATTTTCGATCATCAAGTGACAAACACCATCGAAATTAAGTCTGCTTTGAGCCAAAAAATACCAGGTCATACGATGAACGCCGATGGGGGCAATTCAAGCGCTCTACGCCAAGTTACGTTAGGTGATTTCGTAGTGCTTACAGGTATACTGAAAAAAAAATTTTGTTAACACTATTTACAGCCTGATTGAAAGATCGCGGGCTGGAATTGATAGACACAACCATCATTCAAAGCAGAAAATATAGGAAAACAAGGATTTATATTTTATATTCAGAAAGTGTCGCATCTTGTGGATGCGCTGTGAGCTATAGCAGATCGGGGTGGTGTCCTTTCATACACCGGAAAGGCGCATCTCAACAATGCTAGCCGTCACCCTGGTCTCTCAACTCGAACCACTTGCACTATTATTTCCAGAACCACTACTAATTTCGCCGGCAGCGTACAATGCTCCCGGCTGGTAGAAAGTGCCAAAATTGTGGGGCAGCCTTTAGCCCTTTGCGAAATAAGGAGAGTAAGGTGACAAGAAGAAGTTGAGAAAAGGAGGTCAAGACAGGAACACGTGCACCCGGATGTGCTTTGTTGAATTTGCTGTTACTGCTCCCGCTAGCATGCAGCCGCTGCGCCACGCTGACAATCTACTAGTATAGAGTCAGCTGTTCAAAATTACTTTAAAGAAACTCTATGTATTAGAGCTGCGTATATATGTCGAATGGCGCTGTTTTCGTCACTTTTTGCAATGCTTGTTTTGCATGTTGTTGAGACCTCGATGTTTTTCGTTTATCAAAGTCTTCCGAGAGAAGTGCGAGATGCTATAGCTTTCTGCGTCATAATATTACTTGACATTGATTCTAAGTATTTTGATATATTATCGGGTTTTCACAACCTTAACTTGGCAGTTTTACGACATAACATTCTGGGAAGGAATATTTTTCACCAAATGATAATGTTGCTTTCAAACTAGCTACGAGTTGTAGCCTTCTGCCTTCACTTTTTTATTAAAATGCTGTGTTTTTATTATGTAAATATTTTCTGGATGTTTACTTTTATAAAGTTTCCCACTTATTGCTTTCTTGTAAGTAGAAACTGTTGCTCCGCAACAACTTTAATCGGCCTTGCGATAAAATGAATGGGATATATAAAAAGCCGAAGTTAGTAATAAGTGTTTTATTGGGTCGGTATATTTCAATGTGCTGTCCGCTTTCACCTAGAAGCCTCAAACATGGAGTTTCAAGGATCAACATTGCATGAAGTGTTTATGTAGGAAGATTTGCCGTCCAAGAACCCTACACCTATGGGCTATTTTAGGGGAGATTGAGGGGGGGGGGGGGAGGTTGAACGAAAAAAGCTGAGAATGTCTTTTCCTTTCCTTAGTATAAAGACGCCCTCAGTCATATCTTATGAAACACCGCTGTTTCACTAAATGCACTATCGGAATTTGACTAGGTCTTCTCCTTCGGACATACTACTCGTTTGGCCCTTATCCGTAGAAACCATGAGTCAATAACCAAACAGCGACGCAAAACACCACCCCGCGCGCCAGACATTCCGTGCACAATCGCACTCGTCTTGCACGGCAGATAATAATTCCTAATCCATTCAGTGCGAGAATTTGTTGGCTATTTCTGAACTAGACGGCAAGACGACGCAGTTGCATGTTTCATTAGGAACCGTCGAATTAATAAATAAAGAATAATCAACGCCAGCGGTTTCAATACGCAGCCATGGTTCTATTAGGTAGTACAAAATGAAGCATAACTTATCCTTTTGACCATTTCAGTGGCCCTGACTATCGCTTCCCTCGCAGCTGGAGCGATTCCTGGTTCTATATTTGATACTGTTCTCAAAGGAGGAAGGACCGAAGAAAACAAATAGTGAGAAATAAGACTTGCGGCTGTCTGCGTCGACACTTCGCTTAGGCTGAATAAAACGAAAGAAGCGGCATGACCGCGAGAAACAAATAAATCGAAAGAAATCGAAACCTCGTTGCCGCTTCTGATGCCTTTTGCTACGCAACTTTTGGTTCCTTCATAAATGTACTTATGAAGTTGCACGTAGGGTCAACAGCTGGGCCGCCAATGAAATGAAAATTCATAAATATTTACATCTTGTGCTAGCCATAAACAGGTATGTTTTATATTTGGAACAACGCATAAATAGAAAAACTTCAATGGGTAATGTACGACAATCAATTCGAACACAATAACTCATCCGCACAAGGCAATGAGTGATTCCTTCATTTTACGCAGAAAAAAAGTTGATTGCTCTAAATAAAGCAGTTGCTCCTGCTTTTTGGACAGAGTTCGTTTATATGCACTTCCAGCAGCATATCATGTAGTTCATTATCCAGTCAGGAAACTTGCTGTCCAAATTGTCTACATCAGAATGAACATGTGGAGGTGAAAACGATTTTAACAAATTGAGCAAAAATTGCGACTGAATACAACTAAATCTAGCTTTACAACATACAGGAAAAATTTGTAATTTAAGAGCAACAATCATTTTAGACCTATTAGAGAGAAAGATGAAAGAGAACTATTAAAGAGAAAATAGTAGTGCACCCGAGGCATGGTCGCTCACAACGTGTGGGTATACCCAGGTTCCTATAGGCAACAAAATAAACAAAAGCTATCGCATTTAGGAGTAATGTTGTAGAGAAAAATTTATTCGCTGTCATCAGGCACCGCGTCAACAAAGTTCGCAGAACGTCTTGCGGATGTGTAAAGATAAGTTAATTTTTCCGCTGAATGGCAAATAATGTGGTAGTGGATGCTTTCAAGATTAACACAAAAAGATTGGTAGCGCAGTGGGTGTCTTGAGAGTGTATTTGTAATCTTCGCTCCATGAATTTTATAAGTGAGGGCAAGTAATGTAAAGAAAATTATCATCATCTAAAGATGCCGTCATTTCAGCTTTCGCTTTGACTCGCCTGCGCTTTTCGCGCAGACTTCCTGTTTTTGTTTTTTTTTTTGTTTTTTGGCAACTGTGCCACAGGATCGAACTTATAATACATAGGAAGCTTACGCCATAAAAACCATGGTTGTGTTTATTTTGTTTTGTCTATTTCCTTCAGCAAGTCAACTTACTTTTTCACCATCTTTAAATATCTGATTCACCTTTTCACACACTGGTTTTCATCCGCTGATATGTATAGCCATTCAATGAGCAGCCCCATTCGTCTTTCGCACCTCCAGTGCACTCATTCAGGGGCAGCATTGTGGTTTTATTCCGATAGCAATTATATGGACACTCACGGCTGGATTTGGCGCTGGCGTCGGCGTAGACGTCGGCGTCGATGTGATGCACCGTATATGTATGCGTATCTATATATGTGAAAAAGCAAGAAATAAAAAAATCTAGAGAGAAAACACTCCGGCGTGCTGAATCAAACGTTGGACCTCTGCGTCGTGAAAGCGAGGCGTCAATCACTGAGCTACCCCGGAGAACGTTCTTCACCGTTCAAACAGCAAACTATTTATATATACCGCTTACCACTGCTGCGTTTTTGGCATTAGCAGAAAGATCACGCAATTAGCACACGTAGTTCAAGTCCGCATGAATCTTAAGGCATTAATCGCAGTTCAAGTCCCCATTAATCTTAAGGGAAAAGGTATGTGCCGTGCTTTTAGCAACAGTCGAATTGGTCATCTGAGCGCAAACTTTACATCATGGTTTGTTACAGGAGTGACAACCAACTGGAGCAATGAATCTAGTCATGGTATAAGTTATAGTGTCGTGCAAGTTCCTTGATCTCCCACATACAACTCGTGGTGATTCAGTGAAAATGTGTTTAAGCCGATCGCTCTGGCCAATAGGTTGTTATGCTTTCTGAGCATATGCGACACGTTAAGATAAGATGCAGAATCCGTTAGAACGAGGTTGGTTCAGGAAGGCGGCGTAATCGCTTGTTCTTATTGTTGAGCTTTTCACGATCAAGACAATTGGTCCACTGGAGAGCATCGTCGATTATTTGTTAACGATACTGTTGTTCGGTTAATGCTTTAAGAGCTGATGACAGTTTCGAGTGAATTCTCAGTTGTCCGAGCGAATTCTTTTAAAACGAATAGCTTAGCTATTGGGGATACTTGTTTTGCGAAGTTTGACATGGCTGCTTTTAAGATGAAGATATCTTTGTCGGTCAGTGAGCTTTCTGTAAAAGTTCGTCATTAGTTTACCATTGCTATTTTGCGCCGATGACATTACCCACTCGAAACTGCATCTGGCTCTCTTTGTGAAGGAGGGACGCCGGCGCCCTCAAGCGCGCATGCGTCCAAGCAACGCAGCGCGCCGCGCGCCTGCGAGTATACGGCACGCAGATCGGCACCTGACGTGGCATCGCCGGCGTGACGCGCAAAACAAACGCCGGCGCGCACGCGCACCAGGTAACGTCGAAGTATATTAGCACCTACAGTGTTTCATGTAGTCATGTTTTTACATGACACGCATCTCTTGATCAACATGTTTGCACCAGTCACACACCTTCGTCATCCATTCACGTGACGTAATACTAAATTTGGCATATGAGAAGCAAGCAAAGCGGCCGCGGGCGCATCGTGAGTGTGGCATGTAGTTAGGTTGTTACATGACACGCATGTCATGATTATCATGTTTGGACGTGTCATTTATCTATGTCGTTCGTTCGCGTCACGTAATACCGAATTTGGTACATGTGAAGCTAGTGAAACGCACGCGAGTGCATCATGAGCGTAGCATTTGGTCATGTTGTTACATGACACGCATCTCATGATTATTATGTTTGCACCTGTCATATACCTTCGTCATCCATTCGCCATCTATAATACCAAATATGGTACATGTAAAGCTAGCGAAACGGCCACGAGCGCACCTTGAGAGTGGTTTGTAGTCATGACTCATGACTTACATGACGTGCATGTCATGATTTTCACGTTGGGGTTTGTCACTTGTGTTTACCATGCAGTCATGTCATACCATACCAGTTTTCAACATACCATGTGAAGGAAACCACCGCAAAAGCAGCAAGGTCATGAAATGTAAATCATGACATTCATCACCTATATAATGTTATGACCAGTCAATTATACTCGTCATACAGTCATGTTATGCCATACCGAATTCGGTATTGATACCACTAACAAAGCGGCCAGGCGAACTAAAAGTCATAGATAGATAGATAGATAGATAGATAGATAGATAGATAGATAGATAGATAGATAGATAGATAGATACGCTCGATGTCACCGAAGTTCGCTGAGAAACGCCTCGCATTTAAAATGCATACACAGCGTAACCACGATGAAAAGAAGCCGTCATATCGGTTAGGAGGCCTGGTAATTGGCGCCATTTGTAAATGGCCCGGAGCATTCCTACTTGCTCGCCAACAAATGGTTTTACTCCTCTGAATGCGTGTAATCTTTCAGTAAGGAAATCAAACAATCGCATTTTTGGTCGATATGACCTGCCATACACAATAATGCAATGAATATTACAAGATGGCTCAATGTCGGTTCACATGCCATTTAACTTGAGCGAGGTCTTCATGAAAAAAATAACAAAACTAAGATTCTCCATATGACTCGCAGTGGGAGAGCGTACATCAGTTTTACTTTTACGCTGCAGTGCAAGTGGTGGCTTGAGAAAATTTCTGACGTGCGGTTTAATTTTTCCCATCTCTGCCTTTCAGTTTCGTTTTTTTTTCCTAAACCGTCTAGCCTCGTTGCGCATGCCTTCGTAACCAAGCCTATAGTTGCTCGGATAATTTTGAAATGTATTAATTAGCCGAGTAATTGAAAAGTTCTACGTAATTTTCACGTAAGCATCCAAAAATGCAACTCGACGCACTTTATTACTCGCTCAGAAAAAACTGCTGCTCAGGTCTTTCGCATGTCGTTTCATTGCTCCTGTATGAATGTAATTAGTCGGTTGGTTGGCCACGTGCTTGACGGAAAGATGAACCAATGACAAGGGTTCAACAATAAATCAGTGTTCCGGGAATATGTGACTTGTGGTTAGTTTATTTTGAGTGCGTTATTATTTTGTGAATTGAAATGTACATTGCCCTTTGTACTTTACGATTTAAACGCTGCAATGTTTCTTGAAAAGCTGCTGCAGCGTTCGAAACATTTGGTAATTTCAAGATGTGGGAGACACACGATGGCCAAGCACTGTTATGTGTTATGTGTAACCAAGGAAACGAATTCATTTGTATGGACACGAAGCTACACTTGCCTCAATTCACTCGACATGATTTTTTACTTGAGAGAGTTCAGAGCTCGTTACGCAGAAAGTCGGATGTCGGATCGCGCTTCAGCTTCATCGATTGTGATTGAAAAGTTAGCTTTGTCCGTGAACGAAAATTTAAATATATAGAAGCAAATATAAATGCTGCTCCCAGAACTTCTGCGTGGCAAGAAGTGATCCCCCACAGAGCCCAACTACTACCTTTTTTCATTTTCTTCATGGTATTTATTGGAATGTGTAGTTGATTGCTCAAGGAAATAGCACGATTTGTATGTAACAGAAGCGCGCTCACTAGATGAATATAATCACTAAATCAATATCGTAAGAAAACAGTCCTCCGATAGCAAAGCAGAGCACTCAAGCGGGAAAGTTGTTCAAGCTTTCTTTTTTATTAGAAAAAATATTTGGAAGTCGAGTCCAAACCCAATTATGGTGAATTAGTCGTTCGACCAGTCTGGTCGAATGACTAACTCACCATAATCTCCTTTAGGAGAATAGCCATTGGAATAAAATGTGCTTTTGAAGAAATGGCCGGCTCGGCATGATAGCCTTGCATGCGTGTCTGGATTAATTTTCTCTTCAGAGTTAGCTGAAAGATATCCCAGAGCAGAATACTATCTTGACAGCTAAAAAAAGCCATGTCCTGTTGTTTACCTGTACATCGCATAGTCGAAAGAAAAACAAAAAAAAAGAATTAACCTCCTTCGTTATTATTGATTTATTCACAGGTGTGGTGGTATAATAATTAATTTTTCATTTTATTATTGTCAAGAAAAAAATGCACGTGCAACCACCGTTAACTTTTGAAATTCAATTTTAGTTCTTTGACTCTTCATCTTTAAATGAAGCAATCGTAATTATTTGGAAATCTGCCGGCTCCCTTTAAAAGGTATGCCACAAATCTGTATTTTGAGTACAGCGCAGCGCTGGTGTCATCGCAAAGCTTTTTTGAGAAGAGTTCAGTGGTAAGTCGAACACATTTCTCATGGTATCTAACTCTATTATTGAATGAGTATGTGCCACCCATATACTTGATCAACCATACTTTTCATTTGATCCGCAAAGTAAAAGACAACTTGTAAGACCACCAAGTAGAGTTTCAACAGTTGCGGACAACATTTTTTAGGTTTCCTGTATTAATAACCTGGTAGAAAAGAATATATCAAGTATATTGATAGAGGATGCCCGTATTTCTTTTACACGATTGGAAAATTCATATTTTTGTGTTCACAGACAGTCAGTCAGTCAAAAACTTTAACAAATGGTCCTCAGAAGATTAAGCCACCAGGGTAACCACGAGGGACATTCTAGTAATCGCTACCGTAGGCGACGCCCGAGTCGGGACGAGAACTTGGTGGTGTTCCGCCAGTTCTTAGGCCCTCTGGATGCCTTTTGCTGGTTTTTGAGACTGGGGCTCCTGAGTGCCTCCTCCCAGTCGGACTCACTGGTGGGAGGCTCCGTGGTAACGCGGGACATTGCCAGAGCATGTGTTCGAGTGAACAGTACACTTCTGAGCATTCTAAGCATTGTGAACCTATGTCTGAGTTGGAACGGCCGAGTCGGCCCCGAGATTGGTATGATCTCGTTTGTAGCGTGCGAAAAGCTATCTCTTGCGCGTGTTCGAGCTTTTCATGTGGTAGAGGGTATTTGCTTCTATCGTTTTGGTAATAGGAGGCGATTTCGTGAAAGGTGAGGAAAGGATGATTAAAATATATGTCTGGGCCCGGCTCTTTAGTGGCTGATTGATCGTCGTGGCGGGTCAGTTCTCGAGCGAAATCTAGAGCCATTTCCCTGAGGTTGAGTTTGTGAGGGTGGACCTCTTTGCCCATGTGGCCAGGAAACCAAGAGAGGTAGTGAAAGCCCATGCGTTTGCGTGTTTGTAAAATGTGGGCTGCTTCTCGAGCCATGTTGCCGCTTTCGTAAGCCCGAATGGCGGCGTGAGAGTCTGTGAAGACATGGGTGTGTGAGGGGTCGACCATCGCTAAGGCAATAGCAACATGCTCGGCTAAGGCGCTCGTTGCTAGCCTAACTGAGGCGGCTGACCGTGGGGCTCCGTCGACATCTAAAACCACTAATGCGAAGATGGAGGAGATATTGCATTGCGCCGCATCGACGAAGATGGTAGAATTGCGATTCGCAGCGGTACGGTTGAAGATCGCGTGAGCACGGGCCAAGCGTCCGCCTTTGTTGTGTTGCGGGTGAATATTTCGCGAAAATGGCTTTACCTTGTAGGTTGCGCGGACAACTCTGGGGAGGGTTACTGCACGTTCAAGGTAGGGATGTGGGGACATGACAACCTCGCTTAGAAGTTGGCGGCCTGCCTTGGAGTAGGAGAGGTGGATCACTTGGGCCGTGGTCTGGGCCTCAATCACTTCGTCGATGTTGTTGTGAATGCCTAGTCGGTCGAGACGGGAAGTACTCGTGTTTTGAGGTAAACCAAAGACTTGTTTAATTCTTTTGCGCATGAGCGTGTTTAGCTTTATCTCTTCCACTTTCGTCCAGTTGTGGGCAAAGACGACGTAATTGATGTGGCTCATCAGGAACGCGTGGTATATGCGCAGAAGGTTGGCCTATTCAAGGCCTCGTTTGCGACCCAAGACTCGCTGAATCAGTCGGAGCATGTTTTCCGTTTTTGCTGTAATGTGCATTATTATTGGTGCATGACAGCCAGTGGCCTCGATTAGGAGGCCGAGATTGTGTTCACAACAAATATTTTCGATGCTCATCCAAGTGGCATATCTCGACACATATATCTGAACATAAACATTCATACCCGTGATTAAAGAGGCGTTTAAATTAAAAAGAAATATCTGGCCGATATATTACGTTACCATCCCCTTTCACGGGCAGCTGTCCTCTAGCGGTAAATGCGCCTGAATGATTCGATACCATCTACACAATCTGAGAACCATCAGATGAGATTATGGGCACAACACGAACATTATAGGTTCTTCCCGTGTTTACGTGGCCACTAGGGATAACATTAGAATCTCAAATGGCAGATGCATAATGCCAACGCGCTTCACTTTTAACAGACTATAGACAGATGATGAACTGTTCTCCGGTATTAAAGACAGCGTGTCTTATTAGCGGTATAGCTTTCGCTTCCTGCCTGCAAGCTCGACCAAATAAATACCTTAAACTTGGACACGCTGACCACTGCCTTGGTTAGTGTCATGGTACTATGCCCCAAGAATAATTTTTCAATAAAGCACTCTTGATAAAGTAGATCAAGTAGGTGATGATATTTACAGTTATTGACGCTCTGTTTTGTAACCAATTCAAGTGTAACCAATCCATAGTTATAATAAGGGGACAGCTGTCATATGCATCATGTATGTTCTGGTAAAAATCTTAGCAATGCTTGGGCACTTTATTAATATTGTTGCACAGAGTAGGGTGAACAAAATTATCATCATTATCATGAACATGCTCTCACTTGCTTCGTCCTTTTAAAGTTCTACTTCGCTTGCACGACACGTGCGCAGGTTTGATCATCTCGGAATACGGAAACTACCACGAACTGGCCTGTTATTTGAGTAAAAGTGTCCTAATTTCTCGTGAACTTAACTAAAGGACAGGCAATATTTAGACATGTGATTAAATACAGGCAGCATTGTGCGATGAATTATTTTACTTAAAGAGAAAAGACTTCCGCCGCCTCAATCCAAGCTAAGTAGGTCGCGAACATCACGCTAAAGCTCCTGCGAACTAATTCATACACAAATCCAGTGACCATCAATAGCATATATCCGGACATTTACCTATATAGCTCTTCCGTTGCCTGTTGGAAGGCTGCCACTTTGTCTCATATAGTCGACCCTAGGTTCACCAATGAGAAGTCTGACGCGCTCCTGCTGTGTCCCGCCCATGAAGACCAAATTCTGGCCGTCGAGCGTTCCCATGATTGCACCAGAAGGCTAGAACTACCAATCGCTTGGTGGGATTAGCCAGATGTGCGTTTATTTCGCGTTTTGCTGGACCTAGTAAAAGTTTATTCACTCACTCCCTTTATGACTCACTCACGCGACATGTTCTCACCAGAAATTACTTAACAGCTGGTTATGTGACTAGGATTGTAACATCACGTAACACGTGGCCACGTGACATGTCCAGCTAAGTCTAGCCATGGCTAGCCACACTTAGTATTGCGAGAAAAAATAGCACCTCGAGATAACGCTCATGCTTACTATAGTGAAACTCAGCTAGGTTCATGGAACATTAACTCCTCTAGTGATTCCAGCTTTTTATTGGTAGTGCAAGCAGCGTACTTTTTTATTTCTGATGTTTTATTAGTATGTGAAAAATCAAGAAGAAAGATTTCAGCTTCCCAAAAACCTCATTTTCAAACCTATTGATTTGTTCATACTCAATGTTAGCGCAGATGAAGAAAAAAGTGGAATGCTAAACAGCTAGATTATATCCCTCGTCTTCAAGTGCGTTACGTACTCTATAGTGCATGACGCACTGGGGGCAGACAATAGAGGGTAGACTTCATTGCAATACTTTCTCATCTACGTCTTTGCAGAAAGAAACATGGACGGATTTCTTGGAACGTGTTTTCTCATGGCGTATGCTACGGCAGTCGGTAAGACAAATCAGTCCTACTAAATGTTGCATGAGCGCAACTTCTGTGGACTTGGGAAATGTTATAAGAACGTTCTATAGTTATATTTAGTTTCGATCATCATGCGACAAACACATTTGAAATTAGGTCTGCCTTAGGCCAAAAACTACCAAGTCGTATGATGGACGCCAGTCGGTGCAATCTCAGTGTTGATTGATTGATTTGTGGGGTTTAACGTCCCAAAACCACCATATTGCCGCCAGCACGTAGTGGGTTGACAGCAAGAGCGGCTCAAAATCTGGAGGAAAAAAGAAGATCGCGTTCTTCTTTGCTCGAGAGCCAGCCACGACTGACGCATCGTCCTAGTGCTAGCTACCTGGTGGTTTAATAAATCCCCCAGTACTTGTGACTCATCGTGACAACTGGTGGAAGTGCTGGGTAGTCTCACGGATGCTGCAGACCCCCCCAGGAAGCCGCGATACGAGTCCAGTGCCAGTCAATACTCCCGTGCATCGGACCAGCCGCCGAATCAGGGGATTGCCTCCGGAAGCCGGCGATACTGCTCCCACCACGTCGACAAACATGACCAGCGCTTCGGTGCAAACCTCGGCGACCGGCACGGGAAGCACGACGTCGAACCGCTACACGTTGGAAAGCCCACGCGCACCGGCGACGTTCCATGGCTCGGAGCACGAAGACGTTGAGGACTGGTTGGCGGATTTCTAGCGCGTAGCCGCCTTGAATCAGTGGGACGACGCGGCGAAACTGGGTCGTGTCTACTTCTATCTCGAAGACGGGGCACGTACGTGGTATCAAAACCGAGAGGAACTGCTGACGACGTGGCCCGAATTCTCTCGTCGACTTCTGCAGACGTATGCCAGTGCTGATCGCCAAGAACGAGCTGAACGAGCTATTCTGGCCCGCGTCCAGCTGCCAAACGAAACTGTGACCACGTTCGTCGAAGACATGACGCGCCTCTTCCGACAGGCCGATTCAAGAATGACGGAGGACAAGAAGTTGCGTCACTTGATGCGCGGTGTCAAGGACCAGCTTTTTGCCGGCCTCGTGCGCAGCCCTCCGAAGACGGTCGCGGAGTTCTTGTCCGAGGCCGTGACAATGGAAAAAATGCTGCAGCAGCGATCCAACCAATACAACAGGCAAGTCAATGGCATGTCTACTGCCGACATTTTCACCGCCACTAGAACCAACAACGACTATCTACGTGAACTCATCCGTGGTATAATACGTGAAGAGTTACAAAAGGCTGGTGTAACACCTCATCCTACAGTAAACTCTATTACAACTGTGATCAAGGATGAGCTGCACCAGGCCCTCCGGGACACCTTGCCTCATGATACAACTGTGCCAGCTCCTGCTGAATACCGCCGTGAGACAACCTACGCAGAAGCTTTGAAACGCCCTGCTGCATCGCCGCCATTATTCGACCATCCTGTTCCTGCTGTTTCACTACAGTCAGCGCAGCACATGCCGTACTACGAAGGCACGTACACGCCACCACCGTTGGCCTTTGTCCCTGGTGCTTCTGTCGCCCATCGTTCAGTGCAACCAATTCAGTACATCGACGATCGGCGCACGTCTCCTCGAAAGTCTGATGTTTGGCGCACACCTGATCGCCGGCCTCTGTGCTTTCACTGTGGAGAAGCTGATCACTTGTACCGCCAGTGCCCATATCGCCGTCTTGGGCTTCGCGGCTTCTCTGCGTACTCACCGCCACCCCGTTACGGCCAGAGACCGCGCGACATCGAAAACTACCTCTCCCAGCAGCATGCACCACCATCTGCCGGGCGCCAGTCGCGCTCGCCATCACCGAGGCGATTTTCATCAACGCCCCAGCGGTATTCTACCACACGGTCTCCCAGCCCCCGTCGGGAAAACTAGACCAAGCGACCTCTGGGGGCGGGGTCGCTGAACGTCGAAGCGCTGAAGACCTCCCATTGACGCAGAACTGTACAGAAACCGGTCCGACATCACATACTGCTGCAAAGGATGGCCGACTTTCACTCGACATAGCAGTGACAATTGATGGTTGTGCAGTTAATGCGTTAGTGGACACCGGCGCAGACTATTCCATACTGAGCGGGAAACTGACAACGCAGCTGAAGAAAGTCATCACGCCGTGGCATAACTCGCAGATTCGGACAGCTGGTGGCCACGTCGTTACTCCACTGGGTGCCTGCACAACTAGAGTACAGATTCAAGGGTACACATTCGTAGCAAGCTGCCTTGTTCTACGCGAATGTTCCCGTGACGTCATTCTGGGAATTGACTTTCTACAAGAAAATGGAGCTATCATTGATCTACAAGAGCGCCGCGTCACGTTCTCAGCCCAGCGAGCAATCAACGTGCAAGATGGTGGAAGGCGTGTCGACGTACTCCGTATTTCTGAACAGAGTGTGACGCTTCCTCCACGAACAAGTGTTCTAGTCGACGTAACATGCTGTGGTTTGGGCGATGGCGATGTGGTGGCTGAGACAAATTTAGAACACCTCCTGCAGCAAGGCATTTGTGTAGCTAGAAGTGTAATACACCTTCGTGATGGTCGATCTGAATTGCTCGTAACCAACTTTAGCAACGAGCATCGACATCTTTTCCGTGGCACTTCGATAGCGTTTGCCCACGAAGTAGCAAACGTCACCAACTGTTTCACGTCCGAAGTAGTGGATACCGCCGACACGTCAATGAGTAATATTGACATCAATCCTGATCTGCCCACCGTTAACCAGACTGCACTACGAGCGCTTTTGTTCGAGTTCAGGTCTTGCTTCGCAACTTGCTCAAAGATCTGCCAGACGTCCATCACTCAACACAGGATCATCACGTACGAAGACGCACGTCCGATACACCAGAACCCCTACCGCGTGTCGGCCAAAGAACGTGAAGCAATACGTACGCAAGTCACCGAGATGCTTGACGATGGCGTTATTGAACCATCGAACAGCCCGTGGTCATCTCCAGTCGTACTTGTCAAAAAGAGGGCGGGTCGCTACGCTTCTGCGTCGACTACCGAAAGCTTAACAACGTGACGAAAAAGGATGTGTATCCGCTGCCACGTATCGACGATTCGCTGGATAGACTTCGTCGTGCCCATTATTTCACTTCTCTCGATCTCAAAAGCGGGTATTGGCAAATCGAAGTAGATCAGCGAGACCGTGAGAAAACAGCCTTTGTGACTCCAGACGGCCTATACCAATTTCGAGTGCTCCCTTTTGGCTTGTGTTCAGCACCGGCAACTTTCCAGCGAATGATGGACACTGTCCTCACAGGGCTCAAGTGGCAGACTTGTCTTGTCTACCTTGATGATGTGGTGGTCTTCTCTACCACGTTTGAGCAGCACCTTCACCGCCTGCGCAGCGTGCTGGAGGCTATCCGATCGGCGGACCTCACACTAAAGCCACAGAAGTGCCACTTCGGCTATAAAGAACTAAAATTTCTTGGACATGTAGTTAGCGCCGAAGGAATCCGTCCCGATCCGGAAAGCTTGCCGCTGTTGCCGAATTACCAGCTCCTGTCGATAAGAAAGCCGTCCGGCGCTTCCTTGGTTTGTGCGCCTACTATCGCCGATTCATTCATGGCTTTTCACAGATAGCAGAACCTCTGACTCGTCTCACAAGGGACGACTCGCCGTTTGTCTGGGAAAACGAGCAACAAGCAGCTTTTGATGAGCTGCGACAGCGCATGCAATCAGCGCCCGTTCTCGCTCATTTCGACGATGATGCTGACACGGAGGTCCATACCGACGCTAGTAACATTGGGCTCGGTGCAGTGCTCGTTCAGCGTCAAGAGGACATCGAAAGAGTGATAGCCTACGCCAGCCGCTCTCTATCCCGTGCCGAGGCGAATTATTCCACTACGGAGAAAGAGTGCCTCGCAGTCGTGTGGGCAATCACCAAGTTCCGCCCGTACCTTTATGGTCGTCCCTTCAAGATAGTGACGGACCATCACGCGCCCTGTTGGTTGGCAAGCCTGCGTGACCCTTCAGGTCGGCTAGCACGGTGGAGTTTGCGGCTGCAGGAATTTGATGTCACCATCGTCCATAAGTCCGGCCGTAAGCATGAAGACGCTGACACACTGTCACGCGCACCCCTTCATGTCGTCAGTCAGGAAGCAGAGGAAGACGAAGGCTTTCTGGGCGCTGTTAGTGCATCAGACTTGAGCAAACGACAGCGAGATGATGCAGAGATTCGTCCAATCATTGATCATTTAGAGGGCCAGGGCGCAATTATACCACGTCATTTATCCCGCTCGTTGACGTCGTTCTGCCTACGACACGGTGTGCTGTACAAGAAGAACGCTCGTTCGAACAATCGTGCTTACCTCCTGGTGGTTCCTCGAGACATGCGAGACGACGTCCTCTTCGCTTGCCATGACGAACCCACATCCGGTCATCTGGGCTACTCAAGGACACTTGCCAGAGTGAGCGAGAGGTACTATTGGCCAGGACTTTCAGCAAGCGTAAAGAAGTACGTAAAGAGCTGTCGGGAATGTCAGCGCCGAAAGCAACCATCTGTTAAGCCAGCTGGTTTGCTTCAGCCCATTGAAGCACCCTGCACGCCGTTCGACCAAGTCGGCATGGACATTCTCGGGCCATTTCCTATGTCTGCGGACAGCAACAAATGGGTGATCGTCGCGACCGACTATTTGACACGCTACGCTGAAACCCAGGCGATCCCACGAGCCACGGCTTCTGAGGTAGCACAATTTTTCATGCGCCACATCGTGTTACGACACGGTGCTCCTTCCAGTGTAATAACGGACAGAGGGACGGCATTCACGGCGCAGCTTACGGATGAATTTTTCAAACTGAGCAACACCAGACACCGAAGGACAACTGCGTACCACCCGCAAACCAACGGACTTACTGAACGACTGAATAAGACCCTCGCAGACATGATCTCAATGTACATCGACGTACAGCACAAAACATGGGACCGGATGTTGCCTTACGTGACCTTCGCGTATAATACCGCCGTGCAAGAAACCACGCGATTCACGCCATTTCGGCTTATCTTCGGCCGCGAAGTGCAGACCATGCTAGACTCAATGCTACCTTGTCAGGACGATGACGAGTTGGCAACAGACGCCGAAGAATTCGCAGAGCGTGCCGATGAAGCCCGGCAGCTCGCGCGACTGCACATCGGCCAGCAACAGCAGGCAGACGCACGACGCTATAATACCCGCCACAGAGAAGTGTTTTACAGCCCCGGAGATCAAGTTTGGGTGTGGACACCCGTCCGCCGCCGTGGCCTTAGTGAAAAGTTGCTGAGCCGGTACTTTGGCCCACATAAAGTGTTACGCCGCGTCAGCGACGTGAACTACGAAGTGGTTCCGGACTCAACACCACATGCACGGAGCAGGACACGGCTGAGGCCGGACGTCGTTCATGTGTTGCGCATGAAGCCATTTATTGCGCGTTGTTCGTAACTTTTCCTTTACCGTACAGCGTTCTTTGTGTTTTTTGTTTATTTTGTGAACTTACTTTCTCGTTCATTGACGTTTCCTATGTTGGCACGCTCTTCAATTTTTACTTTCACTTCATCCGAATTTCCATTTTTTTACGTGCCTATATAGTAGCATCGCGGTGCTGCTATGTACTTTTTTTTCCTCTTTTTGGTACTTGTTTTTTTTTCTTTTCGGAAGGGGGGATAATGCCGCCAGCACGTAGTGGGTTGACAGCAAGAGCGGCTCAAAATCTGGAGGAAAAAAGAAGATCGCGTTCTTCTTTGCTCGAGAGCCCGCCACGATTGACGCATCGTCCTAGTGCTAGCTACCTGGTGGTTTAATAAATCCCCCAGTACTTGTGACTCATCGTGACAATATGATTATGAGAGACGCCGTAGTGGAGGGCTCCGGAAATTTCGACCTCCTGGGGTTCTTTAACGTGCACCCAAATCTGAGTACACGGGCCTACAACATTTCCGCCTCCATCGGAAATGCAGCCGCCACAGCCGGGATTTGAACCCGCGACCTGCGGGTCAGCAGCCCAGTACCTTAGCCACTAGACCACCGCGGCGGGGCCAATCTCAATGTTCTCCGCCACGTTGCGTTGACTCATTTCTTTGTTGCTTAGAAGTACACTAAATACAGAACTTGTGTCACCAATATTTACAGCTAGATTGAAAGACCGGGTGCTGAGGTCGATACACGCAGCCATAATTTAAACCAGGAAATACAGAAAAAAAATGTTTCTATGCACTCTTCAGAAAGTGTCGCAGCTTGTGCTCGTGCTGTGAGCTAGAGCCAATGTTGCTAGAACAGATTAGTCTGGCGTCCCCTGATTCACCGTAAATGGGCTTTTTAACAATACCAGCTCTCGCATGGGTCTCTTAATCTGAAGCGATACCATCAGTATTCCCTGAGCCGCTAAGAATGACACCGGCCGCGTACATTGCTCCTGGCTCGCAGGAAGCGCCTAAATGACGGGGCAGCCTTTAGGCTCCTGAAAAAGGAGGAGAGTGAGGTGAATAGAAGATCTAGAGTAAGGGAGGTCAGGACAGGAGCAGCTGCACGCAGATGCGCTGGTTTATTATGTCGTTGCAGCTCTCGCTAGCATGCAGTCGCCACGCCACCCATACAATGCACCGATACGTAGCCAGCTGCTGAAAAGTACTTAAGTTGAAATTCTATATAATAGAGCTCTCGTATCCTATAAGTATAATGTTGCTGTTTTCGTGACTTTTAAAGACGAGTCGACGCAAAAATTTAGACCTGCCTGTCTGTCTGTTTCTCTGTCTGTCTGTATGAGTGTGTGTTTGTCTGTTCGTCAATCCCTAACGATATTGGCTCTCCTAAACGGCACCATTGGCTACCTTAAACAGCCAACCCAATTCAAAGCTCAAGATTCAGCACTCATACTTGTGCAATTGTCAAGTAAAAAACAATTACCGCGCATATCTAAGGCATCATAACAACACGTATATATTCTGTTGGTGCGTCTTTTACTAGAAAATGTATACATAAGTTATTCTAAGGACTGTAGCGTTTATCACGCCGCGCTGACCATGCAACGCTTGCACGAAAAGGGAAGTGTTTTGAACGCTTTGCCAAGACGACACGGTGGTGGCACCTACCTTTCGCCTTGCGTTCTACACCTTATCACCTCTGAGACGGGCATGCGCGCCCGTCTCAGAGCCGTGCGTTTTGTTCTCCAACAAAACTGCTAGATAGCGCTCATGTCTCACGTGTGACGTGACTTGGTGTGCTCGTTCGCCTGCGCTCCACGCTCGAGGCACTGTAACGCAGCGCCTCCAGAATAGCATTCACCGATTTTCTTGCGCAGAACATAAATAAACATTTCGTTAAATCTCTCCAGACGAAAGACTACCGTCTTTCGACGAAACTTGCAGATGAGCATGCAGATACGGGCCAATTTTTTTGCAATGTTTGTTCTTTCTATCAATAAGAACTTGAGGATTTTCGTTTATAAAAGTGTTCCAATGGAAGAGCGAGATGCTATAGCTTTCTGCATCATATCAATACTTAACATTGATTTGTAGTGTTTATTATCTTATCAGTTTACCAGTACCTTAAAATCGCCAATATTTGAGGTCGTTTCTTGACATAACATTCTGGACAGGAATAAAAGTAGTCGTTAGATGTGGCCACCCGTTTCCTATGTTTTCCTAAACATGCTGAGGTGTTATTATGTAAAAGGTTTTCGGAAGTGCCTACATATCGTTCTCTTATAGGTGGGAGCTGTTGCACTGCAACAACTATACTTGGCCTTGCAACAAAACAAATGCGATAACAAGGCTCAGTTAGCTATGAGTGCTTAGTTGCGTCTGTATGCGTGAATCTGCTCTTCGGTCCAACCCAAAAGCCTGAAACCTGGAGTTTTAAGGCTGAACATTGCATGAAGGGGTTATCTAGGAAGATGGGCCGTCCAAGTAGCCGACACCTAATGGTTCTGGCGGGGGTTGAACAAGGGAAGCATTGGATGTCTTTTTTTGTAGCACAGCATGAAGATTCCAGCAGTTATATGATGATGAAACACTGCTGTTTCAGTAAATGCCCTATCGAAATATTTTAGGCATTGCCTTTTAGACAAACTACTATTCGTACCATTATCCGTAGAAACCATGCGTCACTAACCAAACAGGGAAGCAAAACACTATACCATGCACGCCTGAAATTCCGTGCTCAATTGCCCTCGTCTAGCACGAAAGATGTCCATTCCTATTCAGCTCAGTCCGAGCATTTGTTGTTTATTTCTGAACTACACTCCAAGGTGATATTTTGATGTTGTATTAAAGACTTCAAGAAAAATTCCCAGCAGTAGTTTTGTTACAAAGATATGTATTCATTAGGTAGTACATATAAACGCATCTGTCCTTTTTACCATTTCAGTGGCCCTGACTATTGCTCCAAACGTAGCCGAAGCGTTTCCATCTTTTATTCTTGATGCTATTCTCAAAGCGGGAAGGACCGAAGAAAAGGAGAATGAGTGAGAAATCAGCCATGTGGCTGTGTACGTAATGTCTTCGCTTAGGCCTAATAAAACGAAAGAAGAAGAATTAACGACAGCGTGGAACTAATAAATAAAAAATCTAAACGTCGTTGCCGCTTCTGATGTCCTTTACTACGCAACTTTTGCTTTCAGTATTACTAAATTTAGAAGTTGCACGTAAGCATAATAGCTTAAAAATGTCTGAACGGTCAAGATACAAAACCTGCACAAAAGAGAAGAAACTCTCGATTCTATAGGTATGAAACACAGCTTGAAACCACTTTAGGAGGCCATAGCGCAGGCGTAACAATTCTCTTTCTAAAAGAATTAAAGACCGGAATTTGTATGCTGGAGCAGTAGACAAAAAGCATGCGACTGAATTTCAGATTAGGACGAATGCACAATCGGTATATCATTACCACTGTATCTGCTCTCATGCCTATTCGGTAGTTGCTTAACGTACGCAACATGCCGATGGCTCATACACCTTTTCCACGTATATATTCGATGTGTTGCCATCATTTAAGAATCGCATTGTAAACTATCCGAAGATTCTAACTGTGGCATGATCTCAGAATGGTAACATAATGACATGTGCACATAGTATTGCAAGGGGAAGACAGGAAAGGCACATTTACTCATATTCAGTAAGAAGTGATTGTCATCAAACCACTTTTCCAGGTTGTTAAGATAAGACTTCAGGTGGTCGTATAATGTCTGAATGGCGTCTGCTATTGCATAGAAGGTGCTATCGTCTGCACAATCTTAAGTTGGTATGTCTTCGCTACATGGAATGGTGCTCATTACCACAATTAATGGCACCAGAAACAGCTCTAAGCCTCACGGTACTCCTCTAAAATTTGCGTGAATAATAAATAAAAAGACGCCTTTAAAATATTGAAACTTCCCGTTCGTAAGAAATTTGTTAATACGCGTTAGTATGTACGCCAGAAAATTGACTATGTTCAATCGATCAATAAGAATACCGTGCACAACAGTATCGTATGCTTTAGCGATATCCAAATTGACTAGAGTCGCATATATGTTTTACTGTCGTGCTAGCTGTATGCGACATCCTAAATCAACAATAGCATTTCATATGGACCTTTCGGCTCTGAACCCAATATTACCGGGGCTTAGAATAGACCTCTCATCAAAAATAACTTCTCTGATTCGAGCATAAATAACTGTATCGCTGAATTTCGCCAGATTTGACGGCAGGGCAATCAGCGTTATGTTGTCTAATATGTGCCCTGTGACTTGTTTTTTCAGCAACAGAATACTTTCAGCTAGTTTTCATTGCGTAGCGGTATCCATGAGTTCTTCAACGAGTACTTAACAACATCTAAATGAAGATTAGACACTTCTATAGATAAAACTTCTAACATATACGTTGTGATTATATCTGGCGCAGCGGCTGCCGTTGCTAAACAACGGCCAGTTTGAGTGACCTCAGTTAAATAAACTTCCGTAAGTTCATGCGAGGATACCTGCATGTAGCAAATAGCCGAGAGACTTGTACTGAAGCGATGTTCTAAAGCTCTGGCTATCTCTATCAGTGAGGCGTTCATTTCTTGTGGTGTCAAGATAAAGTATTTCGAGGTTAAATGTGTTGGCGGTACTTTTCTTTACAGCAGATATGCAAACAAACAAACTTTATTACCTGATCTGGAAAGGTATCGAAATGCTGACTGCGATATTCTTCTTTCGCATGATGACAGTGCACTTAAGGCAAAAAACAGACAGTCTTTCCAATTTGTTGGGCATTGATTATAGAGAAGCGTCTTATGAATGACTTTCCATCATCTGTAATCACGTGTTCGTCCATCATTCCACCAACAACAGGAGGGCTGTTTACTCGATGAGATAGCAAACTCAGAATTGTTTTGACATTCCTCTGGCATGAAGCCAGTCTAACATGTAATTTTCTGACCACTGTTGTTCTGAAGTTTCGCAATGGCAGAACACAGACGGGTTAGAAATTTCTAATGGTTGACTTTACTCGCAGTTGCTGTTCTAAGTTGTTATTGGACAGGCGACGTCAAAAACTGTCAGACGGTGGTTGCTGTTAGTTGCAGATTCAACCACGAACCATGACATTCGCATTGATAAAAAACATTAAATGTAACACTGAGCTAGCCTGACCTCGAACAACTGTACATGCCCGGTAATCGTACGCGAGGAAAATTTGTCAGTGGTCCACTCCCACAGCTGTATGCCACACATGTCTGTCTTTCTTCCCCAAGACAAATTATGGGAACTAAAGTCAACCGTGAAAACCGTTTCTTCCTAACAGACTGGCAAAGCGTTGTAAGGTGACTCGTACTTTGAACAACAGTTGGGAAATAACAGTTTATTACTTGAAAACAGTGGTACGAAGGAGGTTTAACAAAACATGCAAGAGTGAAAATTCTTGCCCACGAAAGAAGCCGCAGCCACTGCAAGATGGCGGTTGTGCCAACCATCTTACTAGGGGCATAATGAGCTGTTGGCGTATGGTGATTGAGAAGGAGCGTTTTCCTCGCACGCCCTGCGGGTTTAACGTGGCAACCTTTTTTCGTCAGATACGTCGAGTATTTCTTCAGGTTAGTTACTTTTACCTCCCTGTATTTGGTAGGCCATTTAGGAATCGGCGCCAGATCCCACTGCTGTTCTTTGTTCGGTGCTTTGCTACCTGTCGGCCTTGCACGCAAATGCTGTCGCGTGTGGTCATATGATGAAAACGATTTCGCTGTTATCTGGGGATATAGAGCAAAACCCAGGCCCTCTAACACCGCAACAGGAAAAGCAGATGTTCGACACCGTCATGGCATTACCTTCAATGCAGATCTCTCAGTCTGCCATTCTTGATGAACTTAGCTCTATCCGAGCTAACCACGAAGCGTTTCGACAAGAAATAACAGAATAAATACATTCAGCGTGAAAAGAGCAACAGGCGCTTGAGCAGCGAGTGACAGATCTAAGTGATAGATTAACGCGTGTAGAAAATAACACACACCTAGGTAACACGGGCAAAAAAGAACTTGAGCAACTTGCAGCTCAATGTGGAGTGCTTGCGCGTGCATGTCAGACTATGAAAGACTGTCAGGATGACCTCGAAAGTAGGAATCGTCGAAATAACCTGGTTGTTTATGGTTTCCCAGATAATGAGAATGAAACGTGGGCACAATCAGAGGAAAAAGTTATTTCTTTTTGTTCTAGTGACTTACAGCTCAAAATTGCCCCTGACGCAATTGAACGAAGTCACAGATTAGGCCGATATTCGGCGGCGACGAAAAGGCTCGTCATAGTGAAGTTTCTCTCTTTTAAAGAAAAAGAACGTGTGCTGAACTCTTCTGGCAAGCTAAAGAGAACCATCTTTAGAATCAGTGAGGACTATTCACCCAAAGTCAGGTTAGAGAGGGAAAAATTGATACAATACGCTAAAGGAAAGGGTGGTCATTTTAAGCTTCGTTTCAATAAGTTATTCATGAATAACCAAATATTCCTGTATAACAGTGCTGAAGATAGAGTAGTGCCTAGTCGTAGATAGCATCAGCTCGAAATGCCGTTTTACTGAAAAGAATTGAGAAAAAATTAACTAACGTGCATCGTAGTTAACTGTCACAGTTTAAAAAACAAAAGAACAGAATTTCTTTCATTATTAGACATGACTAAACCACACATTGTTTTTGGCACGGAATCTTGGCTCGATACCACCATCGCAGATCATGAATTCTTTCCGTCGACCTACGCAGTATACCGTAGGGCCAGCACGGCGCACGGAGGTGGTGTATTCCTAATGATCCATAACAGAATCAGTAGCGTTCCTATTCATGGTGTTAGTGACTTGTGTGAATCTGTGTGGTGTAAGGTTATGCTGAGTGGTGGCTCAACTGTGGCTGTTGGTTCCTTCTACAGGCCCCTAGTAATACAACACCCGAACCTTTATTTACTTTAGGCAAAATTTTGTCAACCATAAATACAACATACATAATGGTTGCCGGTGATTTTAACCTACCTAATGTTGCATGGTCCTCATTCAAAGCGATGATTCACAGTGAGTCACTGCTACATAGAGCTATTCAAGAAATCGTGAATGCCCAGCAGTTATATCAGCTTGTGACAGCCCCCACGAGGGTGTGCAGTACTAGTGCAAACGTATTAGATCTGTTTTTTTTCAATGATCAAACGCTTGCTTCCTCTGTTGTTACAGTACAAGGTATTAGGGATCACGAAGTTGTCCTTGTTAAAATGTGCTTAGCTGTAGCTCAACAACTAGCTTCGGGGCCCAGAGAGGTGTTTTTATATGAAAAAGGAGACTACGCTTCTATTTCAACAAAACTAGACGCTTATTTACCCGAGTTTTAAGAACTATGCTCGTGTTCTGACGTGAATGGCTTGTGGAATGAGCTAAAAACAAAACTGTTATCTCTTACTCAAACTTTTGTACCTTCGCGAGTCATATCAGCCAAACAACGAAATGATAAACCATGGCTAAGTAAGGAACTCCAAGTGCTCATAAACAAAAGAGATCGTCTGTATCGCAATTATTGTCACACGTCAGACCTTGAAACATACAAACAGATGAAACTACTTGGTAAGAAGATAGCCAAAGATCTGAGGAAAGCAGAGAGAGCATACTTGAGTGATCTGAGTATTAAGGTGAAAACTAACCCGAAACTCGTCTGGAAATACGTTAAAAGAAAGACAAAGGTTCCGGGTGGTATTCCTGATATAAACGATGGTACTAAATACTTGTCGGACAGTACAAGTAAAGCTGAATGCTTTAACCAGTACTTTCAGTCTGTGTTTTCGGTTCCGTCAGTGGTTCAAACTACAATGTGCAACACAGTAATGTTATCCGGAAATGGCGGAGTTTGAAATTTCAGAACAAGGTGCTGCATCTCTTTTAAAAAACCTTAATGCAAACTCGGCATCAGGGCCAGATCAAATCTCAAGCTTCATTTTAAAGAACTGTGCCCTTTCAATAAGCCCATCTCTTACAGCTGTGTTCAGAAATTCTTTATCGCAGGGTGCATTACCTGATGACTGGAAACGAGCAAATGTAATTCCTATTTTCAAGAGTGGTCACAAGTGAAGTACTTGCAACTATCGGCCAATTTCGTT